CCCCTTTTCATGCTTGTTGACATTACTTGCCTAAGCTCATGCCTAAGCTCATGCCAATGCCATGTCGTGGCGACGTTCATCGGACTTACTAGGTCTCTGCACACGGCATGCCTTCTCACTTCTCCTTCCCCTCCCCTTCACCCCTCACCCTTGTTCCCTTGGGCCCCTTTCCCTATTGCAAGAAATCTGTCCCTTTGTCCCTCTCTGGTTTTCTTGCTGGACATCTGTGAATCTGTAAGGATGTGCCTCAGTGAGCTTCTCCTTTCATCATCTTGTTTGGCGTTTGACAATCATGACTTACATTTTAAGCTATTTCCTTGGGAGATTTTCTTCCATGATTTCTGTAAGCATGTTAGTGAATCCATCTGTGCTCCCTTCTAGCTTTTCCTCTAACTCCAGTTAACCTCAGACTGCTCTTCTTGGTGTCATCTAGTAGCTGCTGGCTGGTCCTCTCATTCTTTTACTTCTTGGCATCTTTGAGCAGTTTATTGTAATTCGCTATTTTGTCCTCAGTATCAGGCACTCTGTCTTTATATTGTCATCTCTGCAATGTATGAATTTTTAATATAGACTATATTGTTTTTTAAATCTTTTATTTATTTTACTCTCTCTCTCTCTCTCTCTCTATCTCTCTATCTGACACAGGGTCTTGCTATGCAGCTTGGACTCATAGTCATCCTCCTGTCTCAGCATCCCCAGTGCTGGGATTACAGGCTTGCGCCACCATGTCTGGTTTTAGTGGCTGGCACAACACAGGGCCCTGACATGTGGTACAGGGATTGAACCCGGGTCCTTGTGCTTGCCAGGCAGGTGTTTAGGCTAAAGAGTTATCTCCCTGGCCCCTGCAATGTACAAATTTTATATTGTTTTTTATTTAATGCATTTCTTTCTGACCACTTTTAGAGAATTTTATGTTCTTGTTGAGTCTGTTGTTCAAATTCTGAACTGCTGTGACAAAACTATCCAGTTTTTTAAAAACTTATTTCCCCAAAATTCACTTTTGGTATATTGTATAAACTTCGTATGAACTTTTAGCTCATGTCTTGGAGTTACCAGAGGTGGGAACTAGAAAAGTGAGGAGAATTTGTGGCTTATATGAAGAGTTTTAGCAAGATATTGCCTCCCTGTGAGTAACTTGGAGCTGTGAGTGTCCAGTGGTAGTATTCGCTCCTATTATTTAAGTGATTTCAACTCTGTCCCTATGTTTTGCCAAAAGACTTGCTTCTGTTTCCAACAGCACCCACGGATTCCGTCCTGTCACACTGCCCTACGACAGTCCTTGCAGTCACACGTCTCGCTCCGTCTGTGCTGCATGCACACTATCGCAGCTTCTTGCTTGTGGTTGCTCTGTGGGGAGGAAGGTGAGGCGAGGTGGGGAGAAAAGGAGGTTGTTGGACACGTGGTGTTAGGCACCAAGGGACAGGCCTCAAGCGGGGGACAGCGGTAGGTGAGAAGAAAAGGTTGATCTGTGTTTGGATTTTTTTGGAGTACTTTTCATTGAGCTGGAAGTTTGGTATTGAGGGGCTTTAGAGGATATTTTGTGGGGCTAGGGGTGAGACATGGGAGGGAGGGTTCGCTTTGTGGTTAAAGAAAGCTGTGTGGTTGCCAGAACCCCCTTATAGAGAGGAAGGTAACCTAGGTGAGCGGGGAAGCACCAGAGGCGTAGGACGGGAGGGCCCAGGAATCGCCGGCGAAGGCAGGAGTGATGACAAGAGGTAGGTGCAGCGAATCTCAGAACTCGCAGGGCAGTTTGCGTGTCTTCAAAAAGAACAAAAAGTATGTTACTAAGATTGTCTCAGGCATTTGAGGAGAAAACAGAAAGTAAAGCACTGAGATGAGGGGAGAAGCTAGAGTTACTACATCAGAAGCAGTGGGCAAAAAATAGAGCAACAACCTAAGAGACCCAGGAAGTCATAAAAGAACATAAAACACAATGCCGGGTCATTAAATAAATTAAGACACCTACAAAACCCACAACCAATAAGATGTCTGATGGGAACACAGATGAGATTACCTCAACGAGACCTTGCAAGTGTGACTCCCAAGCACCCGCGTACCTCTTTCTTTTTTCTCTTTCTTTCTTTCTTTTTTCTCTCTCTTTCTTCCTTCCTTCCTTCCTTTCTCCCTCTCTTTCTTTCTTTCTTTCTTTCTTTCTTTCTTTCTTTCTTTCTTTCTTTCTTTCTTTCTTTCTTTCTTTCTTTCTTTCTTTCTTTCTTTCTTTTTTTCTTTCTTCTTTCTTTCTATCTTTCTCCTCATCCCAGTTGTTCCTTCCCTTTGAACAGATTCCTGCCCTTTCACGGTATCTGTTGTGCCTCTCAGATGGTGTTTACTCTTTCAAGTTCTTACACAATTGTTGAATTCCCCTTATTTTGGTTGGTGAAATTCTGTATCATTTCTAATTTTTTTTACTATTTTTTTCTCTTTAAAAATAATAATTTACAGTAAAATATTAAAACATAATAAAATCAAATAAAAGTAGTAAAAGAAACTTTTCTACTGTTCTGGCCACTCGGCTCCTTTCTCAGGCTGGGATAAAGAAGCAGAGCTCAGGGCGGGATGTGTCTCTGTTCATGCTGGAAGTCTAAGGCGGAGGCTGCGCAAGGGCAGCGCTGGGGGTGGAGCTCTGCTTGCAGCATGAACGAGGAGCGATGTGCGCTTCCAGCCCGGCGCAGCTCGGGCTGACATGCTTCTGGCTGCAGGGCACCTCAGGAGGGGCTGCCCAGCCCCAGCCTGTCCGGGGGACTCCCACCCCTGGTCTGTTCCCCGACTGCCAGCAGTCTCCCTTGACTGTCCTTGCCTTATGCATTCTGGGGACTTGGAGTGTGAAGCCACTAAGAGACTCCTCTGGGACCCAGGCTCAAAGCCCAGCCCTTTCTCACAGTAGTCTCCCCACCAGCTCCTGTTCAGCACAACTGTGTCCTGGGGTATGGGAGACCACGTCCAAGGTGCCAGTTATTGGGGACCCCTGCAGTGAGTCCCCGGTCTCCTGCCAAGTGTTAAGGTGCATGGCAGGAAGAAAGAAGAAGAGATAACACAGGGGTGCAGTAGGGATCTCGGATGACCAGTTGTTCTGTAGGACCAAAGACCTCCAGGCACCCAGAACCTTGGTATTATTCATTGCATCTGAGTCAAGGACAGTGGGTGAGGGCAGTGGGTGTTTCCAGGAACAGTAATGTCGACTACAGTGGAAGAACAAAGCATTCTTGCAAGGAGAAGGATGAGCGGCAGGGGGACAACAAGGAAAGGAGACTTCCCCAGGTTCCCTATCGCCTTCTGCGGGTCTTAGCTTGCCCTGTGAGCGCCACAGCAGTCACTAGCCCTAGGGCTTCCAGCTGTGGCTTCCTCATCCCATTCTGCCTCGAGGACGAGCTTGGACTCAACTACTAGCGTGTGGTCCCCAACACTCGGGTGCTTGTGCTGCAGTCACCAGCTGGACTCTGGAGGCCACTGAGGAGGAGCACCCCGTGTTCTTACTGCTGTCTCCCAGTGCTGAAGAGTCTCCTGGTCCCAGTGCAGGCCTCCCTTTCTCCCTGAGCAGAAATGCCATTTTCACTTTCCCTACAGCTGTTGGCCACCCCGCTGCTCTCACGGCCCTGCGTGGTCTCGCCCTGGGGGGTGGTCTCTCTCTGCTGCATCGCGTAATCCCACTTCCTTCTCCACGTTGTTTCTCCAGGTTCCTGTGTACGCTGCACTCACTCCGGCTCCTGTCCAAGCCCTCGTTTCCCAGGCTCTGCACACTTGGCCCTGGAGACGCGGAGTTGCTGGTACTCACGGCTCCTGCATTGTCTTCCGCTCTGGAGTGGGTTCTTGTCTCTGCAGAGAAGGAACTTCTGGATGTGTCAGTGACAGGTACACACAGATATTAGAGAAAATAGGGAGGGGATTTCAACTTGAGCTAGAGCACACAATTTTAATCTAGCTGACCAGACTGGCCCATTAACAAGCAACTGAAGCCAACTTTCGTGCATTAAGGTGGACTCACTTCTAGTTCGCCCATTGTCTGAGTCTGGAGAAGACTTTATGGCTTGAGGGGCCAATTTGGTTTCCAAAAGAGGATTATTTCTGCTTGGGTCAATCTCAAATTTGCAGTGGCTTTGCTGGAATCTAGGTAACTATAGTGTTGCAGAAAAATCACTAGCAAACCAAATGGAAGACTCTTGGCACCGAGGAGTCAGAAGGCAACTTTTATTATGCTAGCAGGCTGATGGGAACTAATTCCAAATCACCGGCCCAGACTCAGGTTTGAGTTCAGTTTAAATACAGCTTTGGAAGTACAAAGCTGATAGCGGGTTATTACATGATAAGTTACATGGGATGCAAGGATTATGTCATATATTGTCAGGCAGAGTTGTCCGAAGCAGGCTTACTGAAAAGGAATTGTTTATCATTCGACTGGAGCATCCTGGGGAGGAGAGTGTGTTGTGAGTGGAGCGAGTGCAGTTGAAAGGGCCCCTGACTGGGCCAGTGTGTTCTGGGTGCAGGTACAGCCCCCGAAGCAAGCTAGGACGAAGATGCATGTGAATGCATTTCGGATTGAAAAGCACAGGCTCTGCAGCCGGACATGGTCAAGCTGACCTGGCCAGCTGTGTGGACAGTGCAGCTGGATGCAGACAGTCAAGGTCAGCCGAGCTCAGCAGTCCCGCTGTGTGACAGGCGCCTGGAGCACAGGCACGTGCATAAGCACATAGTCACTGATTTTTAACTCCTACTACAAAATGCCTGTAAGTTTGCTCTTCTATAATTGTGTCCCTACAGTGGGTTTAGGGACATGACTGGAGACTTTGCGGTGTTCGTGGTAGTTGAATGTCCTTGTGAATCTCCGCATGACTACAGGTGCGAAGGGAGCTGAGACACGTTGTGCAACCTTAGTGTGGGGGACCAGGCTATGTGATAGACTGATGGGGGCAAACTAGAGGCCCGGAAGGCAGCTGCTGACTTGCTTCAGGAATAGGGAGGTTTTTACAGAAGGCTGCAGGGTCCTGGCTGGTGCGATGCAATCCCAGAATTCCAGCACTCCTGAGGCAAGATAACACCTGCTGAGGACAACACGAAGGGAGCAAGTGCCCAGGTGTGGGGAAGGATCTGTTTCCTTCGGGATGCTAACCTGGCCTTCGTACTCCTAACCTTCTTCTTGCTGTGGCAGGCGCTTGTCCAGGGAAAGTGCACTACCCCTCCCCCTGCACCTCTCACTGGCTAATAAAACCGGGCCAGCTGAAGAGGCCTTTGTCTTTGCCCAGTCTGAAGTGCGGACCTCCCAGTCCCCCTGTACCTGCAAACTGGCACCCTTTTATATTGATCACAGTCACTGTGAGAAATTTGTACCTGTACAGTAATCCTTTTCTTCTTCCCCCATTCTCCTGCCCTCCCTCCAACCTGTCTTCCCCTCCTTATTTACAAAAGCTGTGTTTCCATCTTTTTTTTCCTTCTTTTTTTGAGACAGGATCTCACTGTGTAGCTCAAGCTGGCCTTGAGTTCACGGTGTAGCCCAGGCTGGCCTTGAACACACAGTGAGCCTCTGAGTGCTGACACCGCAGGCATGCACCACCATGCCCGGCTCCATTTCCCCTCCTCTATTCCTTTTCCACTCCTTCTCTTCCCTCCCCTCCCTTATCTGCCTTCCCATTTGAACATTGTCTTCCTGTTTCTCAATATCTATCTTCCATTTTGGTCCTTATTTATGCTTTTGGTTTCCTGCACAAGAAAAATAATATATTTAAACATATGTCAATGTCTTTCCTTTAAATGTGTTGTGTCAAGGTGCTACCATTTACCTAAAAAGACTCAAGATTACCCTTCTTTATTTTAGAGTAGCGCTCCACTGTATATAAAACCCACGTTTTTTCTACTGATGAGCATTTGGGTTGTCTCCAAGATAGAGCTACTACAGATTGCATGGCTGTGGACACGAGTGTGTGTCAATTGCTGTGGTGTTATGCTTTTAACTCCTGCAAGAAGAAACCAAAATGGAAAAGCCTGGGTCAAACGGAACCGGTTTTGGAAAAGTTTCAGTTTTTTGAGGAATTTCCATGCTGGTTGTATCAGCCTACACTCCCACCGACAGTGGAGAAGGGTTTCTTTTCCCGCACAGCCTTGCCAGCAATTGTGATACACAATTTCTTCATGGTGGTCACTCTTTCTGAGTGAGGTGGAATCTCAGATGACCAGGGATGCTGAACATGTCCCATTCCTTTTAAGTGCTGGTTGGGCATCTATAGACCCAAGTTAAGAGCCTTTTTTTTTTTTTTTAGCAAAAACCAACAAAAAAATGTTTCTAAATCCTTGGATGTCTCTGAAGAGCACACAAGTCATGCTTTTAAAGAGTAACAGAAGGGCCAAGGAGGTTTCCTGTGTCCCTGCGATGGTCTCTGGCTGGGGGAACCATGGTGGATGCATTTCTCAAATACATGTTTGAGAAAAATGTGTATTCTGTTTGGGGCTGATTTATTCTATAAACATCAAATAGATTTAGTAGACTGACAGTGCTGTTCAAGTATCCACAATCTCTGCTTTTCTGTCTCCAAGTTCTATTAAGATTGACACTGAAATCTCCAGTTATAGTGGGATTTATCTTTCTCCTTGCAGTACCATGAATTCTTCTGCCAGTTTCTGGTGTGCCTCACATCCATATTCTGAGCCAGGACAGCTAGAGGGGAAACCGAGCTCTAACTCTGCAGAGTTCTAGTTTTTATTTAAGCCCTGCAGCCCAGGGTTATCCAGAGACCAGAGGAGATCCCGTGCCCCATTTGTTTACTGTCTCCCAGAATTGCTCATTTTCCGATGTCTGATATCTTGAACACCACGGTTCCATGCATTTTGTTGAGGTTTTTTCTTGTTTTGTACAAGCTGAGCCATTCTGTATGATTCCATCTTTGCCAGAAGTGTAGGTCTCATAAACATTTAAAGACAGCAGGAATCGCTATAAATCTAGGATTAAAAAATGTTTTAATAACATGAAGTTAACATTCTTACACATGTACAAATGTGTTTTTGAATTTTTGCCAAATGTTTTTGGGTAATAAACGGACCACAAATAGACATATTGTAATGGACCTTGGCAGTCTGCCTGGCTTATCTAAAGTAGTGTCTAGCTACAGCGACGTAGAAGAGTAGATAGTTTTATGAAACTGCTCAGAGCTGCCTTACGCTGCCGTCCAGACTGGGATACATCACTGAAGCGCTGCACTTCCTTCCATTTTGTTTTCTCCATTAGTAGTGCTTTTCCTGCCAGCAGAGAGTGCCAAAGATACCACATTCTGTGAGTGTGACTCAAATTGTTATTTCCCCGTTCTTCTTTCCCCTGACTTTTCTTTTCCCCCTTTGGTGCTGGGAGCCGAGCCTGGCACCAAGCCCGGCTTCAGTGCTGAGATGCACTGCCGGCCAGCCCAATCTGCACACCAGCAAGCCCGTGAAGTGAGGTGCTGCCAGTGTCTTCAGTGTGTTTTGGTGAAGGAGATTTCTGTAAGTCCAAATGTACCACATTACTATGATTTGTGAAGAGCTGGACTTCTGGATTTTTGAAGACAGGGCACTTTTTTTCTTTTTCTTTTTTTGGAGACAGTGTCTTACTATGCAGCTCAGGCTGGCCTTGAGCTTACTTTGTAGCCCAGGCTAGTCTTCATCTTGCAAGGGTCCTCCTGCCTCAGCCTCCCAAGTGCCGGGATTACAGATGTGCACCACCACGCCCAATAGGGAGGGCACTCTTTCTGGCTAGTTGTTTACCACAAAGGGCAGAGCTTCAGGGGAGCAGGAAATTTGTTTTTGCCTAGCGATTCTTGAAACTTAACATTGACTCTAATCATGTGGGTATCTTATAAAAATGCAGCCTCTGAATTGTTAAGCCTGGGTTGAGTTACACAGTTCCAGAATTCTCATAAGCCCTCGGTGGCCCCTGCTAGTCCTCATCCCACACATTGGCTGTGTTCCATCCTTGAGCCTCCAGTCACCCTGCCGTACTGCAATTGGAAAGAGACTTTAGGATTCTTTATCCTATTTTTAAAATATAATCTAATTTTTAAATGTTTTTATCATATTATATAGGGACTTAAAGTTCAACATATCAATACTTGATGAAAAATACCTGTTCCTTATCATGCCTAAGATGTTTGAAATGCAGTGAGATAG